AGTGATAGTATTAAAGGCATGCATCACCACTGCCAGGCCTGAGTTCTTTATATCAACAACAACAAAAAGGAGGGAGGGAGGGGAGGGAGGGAGAGAAGGAGGGAGGGAGGAAAGGAGGGGGGGGGGGGGGGGGGGGGGGGGGGGGGGGGGGGGGGGGGGGGGGGGGGGGGGGGGGGGGGGGGGGGGGGGGGGGGGGGGGGGGGGGGGGGGGGGGGGGGGGGGGGGGGGGGGGAGGGGGGGGGGGGGGGGGAAGGGGGGGGGGGGGGGGGGAGGGAGGGAGAGAAGGAGGGAGGGAGGGAGAGAAGGAGGGAGGGAGGGGAGGGAGGGAGAGAAGGAGGGAGGGAGGGGAGAGAGGGAGGGAAGAAGGACAAACAAAAAAAATCACAAGAATTTCAAAATACAGGAAAATCAGAGTGTACTTCTCGCCCGCATGTGCACTGCCCGGTGGAACATGGCTCTAACTAGAATGATATTTTAACATATTTGGGGTCTACCCCCTAAAACAAACAGGAGATACTTGTTTTCCACTTCCCCCTTTTTCTAACACCCGGATCATTGGAAAAGAATTTGGGAAAATAAATGTCAGGATCAAATAGATATGATATAAAATATTATGATCCTCTAAGATTCGTTTTCCTCTGTATGTACAACAAGCATATATATAAAATGAAAAATGTTACAGAAATCAGCATAGTCGTTGCAGTCGCCAGTCCACAGGGCTTTGCTTCAGCTGTTGAGATGGGAGCATTCAGTCTGTTGCTTGGGCTGCTCTCAAACTCCCAGGATGTGCCTACCTCTCCTCCCCTGCACCCGGGACAATAGAAGTGGCTCTGTGGGGACTTCACCAGGCACGGCATAGTGGCTTCTTGCCCCTGCTGCTCATCTGATCTTACACTATCACTATAACATCATTTCTCTTCAATACTGATGATTAAAACTGCACTTTTAAAAGTTAATTCCTTTGAAAGTTGTTAAGTAGATTGGGGTAGTTTCATCATAAATAAATGTGTGGTTTGAAAATTGATTATTGCCTCCTAGGTCATCCTACCCTCTTTATGTCTCTGATACTGGCACACTGAAGGAGATGACTAGTTATAGAAATCTAAATTTTAAAGCCCTCTCCTTTCTCGTTTCATTATTCTGCACAGGAGAGTTAAGAGTCCTTCCACATGCTGCTCATTTAAAAAGCGGGCGGTGATGTAGCAATATATCCGTGGGTGTCCACAGCGGCCAGGCCTGAGAGCCAGGCTGCAGAAGCTCCATCTCACAGTCTGAGCTGAGGAGGAAGAGCACACGTGTGGAAGACAGCACCTAGCAATTAGAGGCAGAGGTGTCTGACGTCATGAGGAGCTTGAACTAAAGAGGACAGTATGCTGGGGACACCGTTTCCTCACACAGGGGAGGGGCTGAGAAGCTGTTGGCTGTCCAAGTGTCCCATCAGAAGCTGCTGGTGACAGCCTCCCTCTAACCCGCCTCTGCAGCTTCTTCATCTGGACCCCAGCACAGAGCCGTGCCTAAGCTGTAGAAGATCTAATCAAATGTACGCCTCTTCGCTAGACTGAAGTTCAACCAGAGCTTACTGCCAAAAGATAGCCTGATTTTTTAATTAAAGCTCTCAACACCTAAAACTTATTTTTGAGCCCAGATGTAGAGAAGTTTCCCTGCAAACACCAAGCCGCTTTTTGCCTTCCCTTCAGTTTGTACTTTTAATTAGGCACTGAGGGGTTCAGCTTGGGAGGCCGGGCTTAGGGCTCCTGTGCATCTGTGTGCCCACTTCCCCGGGGGCTACAATCCTACTGCCCTTGCTACTTCATCCCTCATGCTTCTGGTCAGACACTTCTATCTCCAAAACCGAGGCTAGGCCCTAAAAATGGAGACAGACATGTTAGTAAAGCCGGAAAGACACCAAAGAAGGAAGGAAACAGAGAGAGACCATTCTGAGACAAGGGCTGACCTCAGATCTCCAAGCTTTCCTTACTTAAGGGCAAGAGAGGGGAAGGTTGGCATTTCACTTAAGGTCTAAACCACTTTAAAGCATTGGGCACCTTAGCACGGATAAGGAGCAGGAGGGCAGGGAGTGGGTGTGGCCAAGTGATCACAACAAGTTCCACTCCTAGGAGACACTGGGAAATAAACCAGTTATTTCAGGGTAAGCATTCCATTGTCTGCGATTTGGCTGTGACTGGTGGCTTCCGTGGTTCTGAGAAACCGACACAGTAATCTCTTTGAGGAGTGTTGGGCCCTAGGTCCTAACTACATGATGTGGTAACTTAGACTGGGGGTCCCACAGGGGATCCTGAAAGAAAGTGCAATGAGATCCCCAAGTCGGATCCTACTTATGACTACAGTAATATCTCCCAGACTGGGCAACGAAGGAAGATGGGCAGGACATCCCTGCACACGCCCACTAGTGTGTGACTGTCCTGCAGAGCTTCTGGTACTCCTCAGAGAGACTCAGCACAGTGTGGACCCGTCCTCTGACTTCTCAGAACCTACCAAAGCCGACTGTGAAGCTTTTGGCTTCTGATTACTATTGTAAGACTTTAAGACAATCCTGAAGCCATTTTTGACAATTCTGAATCCTCTCAGCCTCTGTGCCATAGTGCTTCCCCTCCTCCCCTGGGAACCAAGGACCTAACAGCTACACTCGCACGTACTCAGTTCCTGAACAATTACCCATATACATATGCTTTGGTTCGGTCCCCTGGGAAACGGGGTCAAAATGACCTCTTACCTCACTGATCTGGCAACAGCTCTCCAGTCAATTATTGGTAATAGCCCTTTCAAATAAGCCAATCAGAATAGTCAAAGAACAACCCCCCTTGCTTCTGTGGCCCCTTTAAAAGTAGACTGTACCCGCTATTCGAGGTCCCTCGGCTTCCCGAATGCTGGGGGACCCTGTCATGACAGAATTAATAAAATCCTCATGCTTTTGCATCGGCTGTGATGTGTGGTCTCTGGGGGCGACTCCTTCTCGGTGTTTGGACGCCAGAGTCCAACATTATGGAAAGAAAATTAATATGAATTTTTCTAAACATGACAAGAGTTTTCTTATTCACCTCAGGTTCCTGCTGTTCTATGTCTAGTCTGTCGCTAGTGGTATCCCCATTTTACAAACCAACTATAATGTGAGAGCCTCTGCCTGCTTCTGTGGGTTTCCTCCAGCATGGCCAGGAAGTGGTCAGCCCAGTATGTGCAGCAGCTAACACGGACTTGGGAGTAGGAAAATTTAGACCCCAGTTCTGACGCCACCATTCGCATCATCCCAGGCCTCTTAAGTCACACTCTTCTCATCAGCCGGGGAGAGAGGCACCTAAGGGCAGCTGCAGCACAGTGGGATAGCGATGAGGAGAGCACGGCCCAGAGCCAGCCCGACAAGGATGACCCCACACAGCAGCTGCCCTGTACTCACCGGACAATCTTTAACTGCACCAGCTTGGTGATGCAGCATGCCTTTTCTAATCTACAGCCACAGGGAAGCTCATTGTACAGTTCGGAACCACAGTACACAACTTTCTCCTCTTTAGTCTTAGAATTACTTTTCCTCGTTACCAAGTAAGGACCCAATTAATTACCTTTTACTTTGTTGCATGAGATCTCATTAAATGGATTGCTATTATTTAACCACTTAAGTTCTATCAAATATTTGAGGCATTTGATACTATAAAGAATGTTATAAAAGCATTTCCACAAATACAGTTTTTTCATTCTATGATCGTCTTCCTTCAGGACCAGTTTCCAAAGCAGGTGTCTGAGGTAAGCCCGGACTCTCCCATGACTCACTGATTTTGACACACTGCTTTCCATTGGTTTGTACAATTTATACTTCTTCCTCCAATGTCATCTTGTTTAACTTTAGTATGTTTTTTAAGATTGAAGCTTTACTATATTGTGTGGGGTGGAACTCAGACTTCCACCCCTTCCTCCACCAAGTAGCCAGGTCTACAGGCACATGCCAGCACCCCTTGCTCAAAGCCATCAGTGTTACAATGTCCTTTCCTTTATTTAACACTAACATCAATATCTTGTATTCACCAGGTACCAAGCACTAACTGGAGCTCTTTGCATCTAATTTCGGCACCCTCATTACAAACCTCAGAAATGACGGTTGGCCGCCCTCTGTTCAGACGAGGGTGCTGAAGTTCAGAAGGTCACTCAGCAGTCAAGTGTACTAGGCTGGAATTCAGACCCAGACACGTGGCCGCCCTGCCCTGTTCCTCCTCCCCATCAGCAGATGGCTATCGTGTTCCAATATTGCCGTTTGTTGATTCCTAGCTAAGCTGATCGTTTTCACATGCCATTGTTGTTCGTTCTTCAGCACGTTCTACAGAGAGAGGGGAGTCCCTCCCCCACACACCATCTCCCAGTCACGTGTCTGCACAGCCCTCTCCAGGGCTACCAGCCCATCATGTTGACGTCATCACGATTCAGTTTAAAGAATGTTGCCCTTATTTTCTTCCTCCTCCTTCCTGCCAGTTTAGGGGAATAAACCATTTCCTACAGCTTTATCCCATCTTGTAACATCATTCATTCGTACGATTGGCTCCTTGATTGACTTGGAATGCCCTGTCATGAATGAGCGTGAGCTCAGAGGACGACAAACCACAAAAGCGGCATTATCTGACCAGCTGCCAAGAAATTATTTATCTGGTTGTTTGGCTGAACTGTTTTTGTTTTATCTGGCTTGGTTTGGTTTGGTCTTGAGACTGTGTCTTGCTGTGTAACCCAGGTTGGTGGAACTTGCTTGAGCACTGGGATTACAGGCAACGTGCCATTACCAATCCCACTCGGCCATACCATCCATCTCCTTCAAATTTCCCTCTGTTGAACTCAAATGTAGAGGTGTTTTGTAAATACGTGAGCCATACAGTATGGCTCTCCTTCGAGACTGACTGCTCTCTCACGATGTCCAGCAACACTTTAAAACTCCATCGATTTACTAAACTTTTATCTAATAAACCTAAACTTGAGTCACCCTCTTTTCAAATATCCCACAGTACCTGCATTATGCCTTGCAATATATGCAAGTGCCCAGGCTGCAGCCTCCTTAACTCCAGGGTCAAAATCTTCCAGGCACATCACCAGCGAGTCCAGGGCGCCACAGTCAACCGTGGCCTGCGCCAGCTGCGGAGAGTGCTTACCAACTGCTCGCAGCACGAAGGCAGCTGCTTTCTTGTAGACACACTACAGGGAAAAGAGAACAAACCCAGAATCTAAAATGGCCCAAAAGCAACACAAAATGGCATTAACATGAAGTGCAGCGGCCGCCGAATGCAAACACTGAAACAGCCCGCAAACGCTGGTACTTAGCCGCCTTTGCTTCTGTTCAGTAATTAACCTGGAAAGAGGTGAGTTTTAAATTATGCTACACATATTTTACTTTGAAGCACGCATTTGGAAATTGTATAAAATCAAATATAAACATGGCACTTTCTGCAGATTCATAAAATAATATGATTTTCTGTATCTGCTTGATACTGTTTGACTCCTGGAACTCTAGAACGGTAGCTCGCTGACTGTCTCTGTCAACCGACCACCTCTTTTCCTTCACTTTCTCTCGGCCTCTAAGCATGGCAAGCTTGCCTGACCTCAGCAGGTCATCCTGAACAGCAGCTATGCTCCAAGATACACGGCAATCGCAGAGAGAGGTAACAACATTTCTAACGCTTCTCCTGGTTAACACAGGACATGTTATTTTTCTGTTCTAGAAAGGCTTTTTTTTTAAAAAAAAAAAAAAAGATAAAAACAAGTAAGCTATTGTGTGAATTGTGAATGCTGTTTCATATGGATAGTATGCTCTCTATATAAATTTTACTTGGTTGGGGAATAAAAACTGAAAGCAAAACATAGGAGTAATGTATTTCTATCCGTTTGCTAAAAGTATTTGCAGGAAATATTCGACTACAACACGGTTGTTATGTGACTAAAATAATATAGAGATGATCTCATGAGTTCTCTGTTGGTTTGTTACTTATTTTTTTTTTAAGGTAAAGGTCTCACTGTGTGCACTGGGCTGACCCTGAATTACCACATAGGCAATGCTGGTCTTGAGCTCACAGACATCCACCTGCCTCTACATCCTGAGTGCCAAGACTAAAGGTGTGCATCACCATGCTCAGCTGGGCTCTCCATCCCTATTAATAAACCTGTCATCTCCTACTCGACATTATCAGCTTTGATTTCTTTATATTAGTTACTATCTTAGTTACTTTTCTATTGCTATGAAAATTGCCATGACCAAGGTAACTAATGAAAGAAAGAATTTCATTTGAGGGTTCACGCTTCTCAAAGGTTATATAGTCCATGACCTATCCTGTAGGAGGCAGGCCGGCATGGCTCTGGAGTAGCAGCTGAGACCTTACATCTGATACACAACCAGGAAGCAGAGAGAAATGGCTAACATTGGCTTCTGAATCCTCAAAGCCCACAGCCCCAGTGAAACACCTGCTCCAACAAGGCCACACCTCCTGATCTTTCCCAAACAGTTTTGCTAACTGGGGAATCAAGTGTTCATATATATGAACCTAAGATGGCCATTGTCATTCAAACCACCACGCCAACTAAAGAAGAAGCGGCCAACTGCCTTCTCTGAAAGAGTTCTATCATTTAGGCTAAAAATATAAATAATAAAAATAATAAGAGAAAACACACTACGTGTATTTGAACGTGTTGTATCTAAAACAGTGATATATGTTAATATAAAAATGTACTGTGCTAATACCTATGTTTTAATGTGACATTTCCTTTTGTTTCTTAAATTATGTCAAAAACCTATTCTCTAGTAAATTATTCAAAAATTAAGGTAGACTTTCAGGATAGCTTTCTAAATAATACTTTATTATAATCACGAAAAATAGTGTTGGCACGTTTCTTGTCCTTATCTTAAACCAATTTGACTATTTATCCTGTAGAATTACCACATTTATAATGTAAACGTACCAATAGCTACCAGCTAAGTACAGTGCCTATAACTGGCACTTTCTGATCCCTTCTCCTGCACTGGACCAGTGTTTCACATTTCACAGCCTCACTCCTGTAGCAAGAACTGAAAACAGAATGTAAGCTCACAGGGCTGTCGGGGAGGGCATGGTCTGCAGCCACTGTGAAGCTGACAGCCACACAGCACTGCCTCGCACCCCTGCTTTGGCTCTAGCCAAGCCACTTCCCCACTCCTCGGTCTCGTGTTAGATGTCTGTTTACAACCAGTACACAGTAAGTCATATTTAGAAAACTATCAAGACTTTATACATGGGAGGCAAAAGCAAAGTGCCTGCTCGCACCGCACATACGGAGCAGGAACACCTACAGAAAAGTGAAATTTCTAGAATTCCTTTAAAAGGCATTAAAAAATAACCCTATAGGGCTGGAGAGATGGCTCAGAGCTTAAGAGCATTGCCTGCTCTTCCAAAGGTCCTGAGTTCAATTCCCAGCAACCACATGGTGGCTCACAACCATCTGTAATGGGGTCTGGTGCCCTCTTCTGGCCTGCAGGCATACATATAGACAGAATATTGTATACATAATAAACAAATAAATATTTTAAAAAAAATAAAAAAATAAACCTATAAAATCAAACAAATTTCTTCACAGTTAAGATGTCTTAGCTGGGTAAAATAAATATAGAATTCCCATTGTAACTGTGATGCAGTCCTAATACTGTGCATGTGTCACTGCTGAGAACATTTTCACCACCCAAAAATCCTTTAAAGACCCGGGCAGTGGTGGTGCACACTTTTAATCTCAGCAGAGACAGAGGAAGCAGAGGCAGGCGGATCTCTGAGTTCGAGGCCAGCCTGGTCTGCAGGACAGCCAGGGCTACACAGAGAATTCCTGTCTCAGTGCCCCCCCCCCAATAAAAGCATCGCTTAAAATAAAGCAGTCACTCCCCCTCTCCCTTCTTCCCACAGCCTTTGGCACCCATGAGTCTGCTTCTGTCTGTGTGGATTTGCATATTCTGTATATTCATATAAATTATACTATGCGGTCTTCTGTGTCTGGCATCTTTCACGTGGAATAATGATCTAAGAATCACCCATGTTGTGACATTTATCAGTACTCAATTCCTGTTTATGACAGAACAACAGCCGTTGTATGGGACAGATGGTATTTCTTTACTCATTTATCTGTTGATGACTTGACCTGCTTTCCCCTGCAGACTGCTGTGAGTTGAGTCACGCTGCTCCGAACACTTGTATATGAGTTGTGAGCTTTGCTTTTAGTTCTCCCAGGTCCATAGCTGGAAGAACTGCTCATTCGTATCCTGAAACCCTGAACTCACTGCATACCTGCTGAATTACTCTTCACAGTAGTCACGCAGTTCTACACTCCTCCCAGCGACCGCTGCGGGCTCCTGCTTCTCCACATCATCACCACACTTCGAATGTTTCTAGGAAATATTCGTTCTGCTCCTCCTGGTAAGTGTGCAGCGGTACCACAGCATGCCTTTAGTTGTGTCTCTTACCAACGCTGCCAAGTTTCTCTTGCGTTTGCCCACCATTTGGAGATGTTCTTTGGGGGAAGTATCTATCCCTTTGCCCATTCTCCAGGTCTTATTTATGTTTTGTTCTATAAGTAGGAATCTAGTCTTAAGGACATCAAAAGAAGGGGCATGCTGCATTATGATAAGCTAAGAGTGGAATGAGTAGTCAAAATTCTACTTACGGATACCAAACAGGCGGAGAAAAATCAAGTAACACCAAAGTACTCGTGTGTGTGTGTGTGTGTGTGTGTGTGTGTGTGTGTGTGTGTGTGTGTAGACCAGAGGTCGGCTTTGGGGGTCATCCTTACAGTGAACCCCAGGGGTCCTTAAGCTCCTGCCTTTCATCCCCAGGACTGGGATTAGAAGCATGTGCCACGGTGCCTGCCATTTTTACGTGGAGTCTGGAGACTGAACACAGGTACTGATGTTAGTGGGGCAAGCAGCTTATGGCTGAGCTGTCTCTCCTGCCTCCAGTGTTTTAAAGAGTTAGACTGCCTGTTTTCTCGGAAAAATGCTTTATCAAACTTCCCATTTAACACCATCTCTCCCTCAGGGCCGTGTCTTGCTCGCCATTCACCTGCAGGTAGGGCTGCCGAAAGCAGTGACAGTCTTACCAGGGTGCTAGCCTCCTCCCTGAGGCAGATCCTCCGTTGCGTTGCCTAAGTCTAGTCACCTGAACCTTTCCATAGTCCTCTTCATAGAACCTCCTACCTGCTCCAAGGCAAAATTCCCGAGCGGTATTCTCACCCACATATAGGAATCTATGGTTGTATTAACATCGTAGTGATACTAATGCCTTCAAGTTTACAACTGTGCCAAAGCTCTCAATTTTTTAAATCTAAGGAAAACAAAAACAAAAGTTTTTGAAAAAGTCTTACATTCTGCTCTGCCAATGAGTAGACAAGCTGTGGAAGAATGTCGCCCTTGACGACAGCTTCGGCTAAATCATCGTTATAGTTGGCCAGCCTCCCCAGGGCCAGGGCGGCAGTCTGCTGAATCGTTGGAACCACGTCCAGAAGAAGAGGCCTCAGCAAGGACATTATACCTGAGGTAAAGTACAAAAACCGGAACTCAGCAAAATTTTAATTTGCAAAGCAAAACATGTGATTCAGCATCTATTCAGTGAGAAAATGAAGGTTTAAAAATAAAACAAATCAGGAAAAAAACAAACAGAAGCAAGCTGCATAGCAGTACATATCTGTAATGCCTTGCTTTCCAAGGCTAAGGCAGAGGCACCATGAGGTCAAAGCTGGCTCTCCTCTCTCTCTCTCTCTCTCTCTCTCTCTCTCTCTCTCTCTCTCTCTCTCACACACACACACACACACACACACACACACACACACACACACAGAATGTTCACTGAAAACTAACTGGATTCTTATGGAGGCATCTAACTGGCCAAGACACAAAATCATGCTAGCTGCCAAAATTACTAACACAGAGGAAGTTGTGGCTCTGGAGCTGGATGGGAACTCACATCTCTTCACAACAGGTAAACACCTAGGATGCCATCGGGAGGAGTGAGAGAGAGGTAGCATGTCTGCGGCAAAGCCCAACCAACCCCACCACCTTCGCAAACCCTATCTCTCAAGGATCATTCCAGGTCCTTTGTCCCGTTTGGTCTTTTCTTCAGATTGAAAATGCTTTCAGGCTGTCTCAGACTCGAGAGCCGGGAGAGCCGTTGTTCTGGGGCCAGCACTTGCACTCACAAAAGCACAACTGGATCTTTAAACAAATCCTTGCGCTAAGGAAGCAAACATATCATTAGCTTCCCCATAATATTTGTGCCACGGTTGAAGACACAGCGGCCATATGGCCATCATCACCACGTAAGTCATTTATGCAGCCTGGAGCTTCACGCAGAAGCTTTGCTCTGGGAACCTTTTCCATGTTAACTCACTAACGTCTATGACAAACCTTAGTGCTAGGCCCTCTCTTTAGGACCAATGAAGAAGCTGAAGCTGAGGACGACCAAGTAAAATGTCCACAATTAGGAACTGATGGAATGAATTGAGAATTTAGACATTCTCTACTGATTGAGAACAAATGTGTATTGAGAAGAGAGGAGACCGGGGAAGGGAACCCAGTGATAAATGCATCATGGCTACCTCACAGGACATTCCAACCCTTTACACCAACTTCCTCTTAGTGCCATGTGCTACTTCCGCCTCAGTGACACTGCTAAGTCTAAAGTCACAAGAAATAATGACAGCATTCAGACTGGGGCAAAGTGCCCCTTGATTTTCTAAATGTTATTTAACATATACATTTATTAAACTCGATATCATTACATCTATTCTTTAAAAATAAATCCTGCTGGGGTTCAGCAGCTTAGCAGGTAAAGATGTCTCCCCAAGCCTAAATACAAGTTCCATCCCCAGGACCCACATGCAGAGAACCCAGCTGTCCTTTGACCTCCACATGTACCCTGTAGCACACAGATACACACACATACACACACAAACATCACACAAAACAAGCAAATAAAAATATAATGCGCTGTGTGGTGGTGGTGCACACCTTTAATCCCAGCACTTGGGAGGCAGAGGCAGGCAGCTCTCTGTGAGTTCGAGGCCAGCTTGGTCTACAAGAGGTAGTTCCAGAACAGCTAGGGCTGTTACACAGGGAAACTCTGTCTCAAATAAACAAAAAGAAAAAAATTAATAAAGAATATTCTGGTGATAGACAAACTTGAATATTGGCAAATATTCTTGTCTCATTTTATATTTAGAAACATTTGAAAGAGAGAAAATAGCATCTACAGTAACATGAAATCAGGCCAAAAATAGCACTGCCAAATAGCGCAAGCTAGAAACAGCTATGCTTGTCAAGATGTATTTAATTATGCAGCCTGCGTCTTCTTAGCTTTCCAGTTTCGTTTGGTTATTATTTCTGTTTAAATTGGCCAGATTGGACCATGCTCTCTAAGACCACAGCTGCCTGCACAGGAGAGGCTGCCTGCTTGCATGTGGTTCAGGGCCTGTGTTAACCAAGCCCCATGTTCATGAATGCTGTTGGTACTTTTAGCTAGACTTTCTAATGAAACAGCGACAGAAGTCTCACAACAGAAAGTTTAAAGCACAGAGTAAAGAATTGAAATAATTACCAAATGTTAACATGGGTTATTTCTGGAAAGTTTCTGGATATTAAAAAAAGATTTCTTTTTAGCGCTTTATTGTTTTGTTTTGCTGTGATAAAACACAATGGACAGACACCATTTTCATCGTTTTTAAGTATATGATGAATATGCTGTGTGCTTACAGTGCTATTGACCATCACCAGCTAAGACCCACTGTCTCCAAAGCAGCTACACCACCAGGGGCTCAGAACCTACAGCATCCCCACCACTGTAAGTGGCGGCTATCTAGGGCGCGTGCTTCGGCTGCTCACTGCTCCCCGATGTGCGTTTCCCCGGCCAGGAACGCTGAGCATCTTCTCATGTGTTTATTGGTCATTTCTGTCTTTACTGGAAAGATGTCTACTTAAGTGTTTGACCCATCTCCTCACTGGGCTGTCAACTATTACTTGACATACTTATAATCAATATGTGACACTTTATTAAACGATGTCAACAACATAAACAGTGAAGAAGCACACAATGCATTCTAGAGACCACAACCATAAAGTTGCTAAAAATAGTGTTTTTAAGAACCACAAAGTGGTTTCAAGTTATTCTTTTTCCAGATGGATCTGGTATTTCTTTTCTTCCTTTTCTCTTTTTGATATGTGCATGAAGGCATACGTATTTCGAAATACGTAATTGAGAAAATAGTTAACAGTTTGTTATTCATATTGGATTGTATTTTAAATTAAACTACAAGAACTCTGAATTGTTAGTGATGTGAAAAATAGCCAGACATGGTGGTGCACATCTTTAATCTCAGCATTAGGGAGGCAGAGGAAGGAGAATCTCTCTGAGTTTAAAACCAGTTTAGTTTCCATAGCAAGTTTCAATCCAGTCAGGGCAACATAATGAGACCCTGTCTTTAAAACTAATAAAAAAAAATCTTAAAATGAGCTATCTGGAGTTACAATATTTAATTTAATTTTAAGTCTTTATTAGTAATGGCTTGTTAGTTATGACTAACCAACTACAAATCTCCCGATTTTGGAAATTTTTAGTTTTTATTTCACCAGTCCACAGAGTCAAAAAAATTTTCTTCCTTTTATATTTTTCTCATTTTTTAAATACATCTGGCTCATAAACTATTAAGCCAGGGCTGGAGAGATGGCTCAAAGGTTAAGAGCATTTGCTGTTCTTCCATAGGACCTGAATTCAGTCCTCAGTGACATCAGGCAGCTCACAACACTCATAACTCCAACTCCAGGGGACTGCTTTCTGGGGCTTCCTCAGGCACCTGAACTTAAGTGTACATACCAACACACACACATATACACACATATACATACATACACATATACATACCTATACATACACACACACACAAATAAATCTTTTTAAAAATGCAAAGCCAATGAATGACTGATAATTCCTTTTTTTCTGTTCCTTTGCCCCAAGTCGGAGTTAACCTTCTATGTCAGTATTTCTGCCATATCATAATATTCCTACATTCCTTACTTTAGACAGTTGCACAATACCAAGTTTTAAAACCTCCAAAATTATAGAAAATAGAAAAGTCAGTGTGAAATACTTTGGTTTAAATAACTGTATTCAATAAATCACTTTGAGAAAGGTAACTTTATTAGAAAAGAAAATAAATTTTCAAATGGTGCCCCAGTGTCTGCCTCCTAAAGCACAGCTTCTGCTTTATCTGCGTCATCTCCAGGCACGTCTCTTTACCAAGAGGAATTCTTACCTCACACAGGCTTGGAGACGTCACTATTTTATAAGTTTGGGGTTGAACGTGGTAGGGTACCTCAATGGTGGGACACTCAGTGTGCTGGCTAGTTTTATATCAGCTTGACATGAGCTAGAGTTATCTGAAAGGAGGGAATCCAAATTGAAAGAAATGCCTCCGTAAGATCTGGCTGTAGGGCATTTTCCTAATCAGTGATACCAGCCAGTTATGGGTATGCTCTTCCTGGGCTGGTGGTCCTGGGTTCTGTAAGAGGGCAAGCTAAGCAGACCGCAGGGAGCAAGTCAATAGGCAGCACACCTCCGTGCTCTCTGCATCAGCTCCTGGGTCCAGGTTCCTGCCCCGAGAGCCAGTCCTGGCTTCTTCCAGTGAGGGACACCAATGTACAAGTGTAAGCCAAACAGACATATGTGTAGTTTTTAGTGAGGCGGTGGTGGCACACACCTTTAATACCAGAGGCAAGCAGATCTCTGTGAGTTCAAGGGCAGCCTGGTCCACTATTTCTTTTTTGAGGTAGAGTCTCTTTAGGTAGCCTAGCTGTCCTAGAACTTGATTTGTAAACCAGGCTGCTCACAGAGATAAACTCAGAGGCTTCCTGAATGCAGGAATGAAAGATGTATTCCCCAACACCCAACTTACTTCTTGTTTAAGTATTGCCACATGTGAAGCTATGTCATAATAATATTTAAAAGTATCACTGTAATAAAAAGTTAATATTATTCTTAAAAGGTCTGCTAATAGGCCTTTGGTCTACTTCAGTCACAGTAAGTCTTTTAGCCAGGCAAGGTGGGGCCCACAAATAGAACCAGCTATTCAAGGGCTAAGAATTGTCTCCTTTGAGCATGGAACTTGGAGCCAGCTTGGGCAGCACAGGGAGGTTATGTCTTTTAAAATAAATAAAGGCATGGCATGCGGCTCATGCTCACGCTAGGAGCACTGCCTCTGCCTCTGAGCAGAAGTACTGGGGTCTGAAATATCCACGCAGGCTCAAAAGTTTGAAAACTTGGTCCCCAGTTGTGATGAAGCTAACTTGGACTGCATAGCAAGACCCTGTCTCTAAAAGAAAGAAAAAATAAAAATAAAAAGGCTGGTAAAGGTGCCTACTTGAGGACTTTAACTAAATCTACAGGACCCACGTGGTGGAAAAAGGAAACTTACTCCTGAAAGTTGCCCTCTGGTCTCACATGTGTGCTGCACTTCTCTCTCCTCTCTCTCTCTCTCTCTCTCT